CTTGTCCTGTGTGGCAGAGTCTGGCACTCTGAGCAGCGTCTGAGCCTGTCTTCAGCAGGTGCAGTTAGCTCCTCCCTTACCCCAGTATCCCCAGTTACCCCATCCAGCTCCTCCCACCTCTCCCATGCCCTGTGCCCCAGGGATGACCCTCTTGGTGACTCTTCACTGGACTCTCCTGCTCCTCCATATCACCCCTGCACTGGGCAATCCTAGCCTAACCATGGCAGCATCCCCAGTGCCTGGCAAGGGAAGGGAAAACCTCCCCCAGTGTCCTGGCCATGCTCCTCCTGGCTTGGCCCAGGGCATTGTTTTCCTCATTCTCCATAAGAGCCTCTCTGTGGGACTCATTTTTTGTGGGGTCAGAGTGGGAGCAGCACTGTGCTGTGTGGCACCCATGTAGGGTTTGTGGGGTGATGAGGGTGCCAGTGGCAGCAGGGAGGGCTGTGGGGCTGGGACCCCAAGAGCATGGAGTAGGAATCCCAAAAGCATGGAGAGGGACCCCACAGCCCCAGAGGAGGCAGGAGGTGGCCAGGGGAGCAGCCCTGGGCCCTGCAGCAGCAGGGAAGTGCAGAGCCAGCCCCCAGCCCTGGCCCCCAGGGAGAGAGGAGCCAGGGGGAGATAAGGCTGGGGATTTAAGGCTCCTGGCAGATCCTGACAGCCAGGGCTGCCTGGCTTCCATCAGCCTTTAAAAATGCCTCTCTGGAGTTCAGGGATCCTTGCTGCCAGCAGAAACAGGGCCAGGCAGAGGGGCTGAGAAGAATCATTCCTCCCTCAGAGCCCTCAGCACGGCTGAAGGTGCCATTTTAGGAACTTTTATTGCAAGAGGGAGCTGCTTGCTCAGAGCTGTTTCCAGGAGGGGCCTGGGGTGGACTCTGAAGGCCAGGGCAGTTTGGGATGCAGGAGAGCCTGGCTGGAGCCTGCCCGGCTCACACTGGATTAATTAAACACTTGGTTAGAGAGAGGCAGTGAGGCACCAAGGAGCAGGGAACCCCTGTGTGGCCCCTCCTGCACATTTGGCCAAAGGCTTTCCCTGAGCCATGGGATGCCTTTCCCTGCTGAGCTGCCCCAGGACAGGAGGGCTGGAAGCTTGGTGTCAGCAGCAGAGGTGGCCTTGCCTCCCACATCCTGGTGTGGTCCTCTGCAGGAGGGTAGGATCCTCTGTGGGGCCTTCCCATGGCAATCCCCTCCCTTCAGGAGCTGGACACAGTGATCCTTGTGGGTCCCCTTGTGCCTTCCCAGGGCAGGATCCTCTGTGGGTCCTTCCCATGGCATTCTCTTCCCTTCAGGAGCTGGACACAATAATCCTTGTGGGTCTCCTCCAGCTCAGTGTATTCTGTGATTCCCAAAGCACATGGCTTCCCAGGCACAAGCAGCTTTCCATGCCCTGGGAGGGAGTGAGTGAGAAACAAGGAGCCCCAGTGCTGCTCAGCACCCCAGCCAGTGCTCCAGGCTGCCTCCAGGGCTGTACCCCAGCTGCCATGGGGCTGTGAAAGGTGCCTGTGAGCCCTGTTAGCATCCCATCACTGCTGGAGGTGAGGAAGCTGCTGCAGTGATGGGGCCAGAGCCACTGGCACCGAAATCACCCTCCAGGGATGAAGGCTGCTTGGATAAAGTAGAAATTTCTGTGCTTTCACTGTTTCATTTCCCTCTTTGCAAGCAGGAATTCCTATGGATGTCCTTGCTTCAAGCCTCAGGAAAAGCAGCAATGTCCCAAAGCTGCTGTCACCTCCCAGGGCAGAAAGCTGGGGTGTCCTCATGTCTGTGTCAGGCTGGGCATGAGGAAAGGGTTCCTCCCCCAGAGGGTGCTGGCACTGCCCAGGCTCCCCAGGGATGGGCACAGCCCCCAGGCTGCCACAGCAGCATTTGCTCAAGGCTCTGAGGGAGGCACAGGATGGGATTGTTGGGGTGTCTGTGCAGGGCCAGCAGCTGGGCTGGAGGATCCCTGTGGGTCCCTCCCAGCTCAGGATATTCCATGATCCTGTGATACTTCCAGCACGTGGTGAGAACATTCCCATTGTTCAGGCAGGATGGGTTTTAGCCCCTGTGTGAAGATTTCACTTTTGATTTGATTTTTGGTGTTTATTCTGGAAACAAGAAATTCCTAAAGAAAATCTGTTTTCTCACCCAGGGGAACACCTGGAGGGAGCAGAACAGTTTTGAAGACAATGTTCATTTATTTTACTTCTGGAGGTTGTCATTACTGGAGAAAAATAAATCAATAGAAAAAAGGACTTTGCATCAAATTTCAGTGATTTTCCTATCTTTACATATGATTTCAGAACATTTAACTTCGGAGAAGTTCTGATTTTTTCAGGATTATTTTACCCATGTGGGACCTGCTGGGGAGGAAGGGACTTGCCCAAACTCCTGGCTGTGTTTTGGTGGCTCATGCAAAGAGTTTCAGTGTCCCAGCTCGGCATTTTTGAGGAACAACCACTGAGCCTCAGTTTTTATCCCTGTCCAGCCATTGACCTGTGCCAGGGCCAGTGTGGGGAATGTTTTTATCCCTTGGAGCAGTCACTACACTCCACAGCCTGGGCACTTTTTGGATGTCTCTCTGTCTTGATGCAGAAGAAGCATTATAGGAAAGTATCTATTTTTAAAATAAACCTCAGAAAGGTGAAAGAGGCCCCTGTCTGAAACTACCCTTGCTGGAATGACCCTGCATTTCACCTGGGCTCTCAGATGAGAGCAATTTTATCTCTTGGTCTTTTGTGTGTCTCAAATATTGGTATTAGTGCAGGAAGCCTGTTATCATGTCCCCATTGCTTCTGGGGAATGCAGAGCTGCCCAGCCATCACCTCTCCCAACAGCTTAACACCCTCTGAGATGGGCTGGTCCCGAGGGAAGGGGGTCAGGAATGGAATGGAGCAGGTGAGGGATCGATGGGAAGATCCAGGAACGTGAGGAGGATCCTGGTTCTCAACAGCTCCTTTGACCATGAGAGGAAGGAGGGACAGTGCCAGCAGGAGGGCTGATGGAATTTCTCTGTAGAGCTTTTCTCATTGGAAACTCAGGCTGATTCTGGAGGAAAGGAGATGTCAACTGAAGAAAAAATCCAACCTTCTTTTTTTCCTTTTTTTTCCCCAATAAGAAATAGCTACTTCTTAGCAATGGCTCTTGCTGACAGCAACCCCAGTGAATGTTTGTCCCAGGCTGTTTTCTGGTCTGCCTCATTCCTGAGAGCCTTGGCAGGTGACTGAAGGAGAAGTTTGTTAAACTTGTTTCAGCACAGGAACCACCTGCCTACCCCCAGGCTCTTCAGGCTGTGTAAGAATTAACAGGAACAGGAAGTCACAACAGGAGGAACCACAGAGGAACAGTCTGAGCTGAGCCTTTCCTTGGGCACTGCTGATCCTGGGCTTGGACGGGACCTTGTGGTGTTGAAAGCTTTTTTCCATGAGTGCTGAATCTGTTAGTGCTGGGTCACAGTGTGGTCCAGCCTTCACCACTGTCTGCTGTGGGCACCACACACCTCTGTGTCCCCCTCACCCGCCCTGTGGGGCTGGACACACGTGGGGTTGAGTGGCTGCTGCTTGTGGAGCATCTTCCTCACCTGTGAGGGGCTCAGAGCCTGGAGGGAGAGCCCAGCCCGCTGCTACTGCTCAGCAGAACCAATAATTTATTTGTAATATTGAGTCATAAAATCATTAAGGTTGGGAATGTCCCCTAGGATCATCAGCCCAGCACTGCCATGTCCCCAGGTGACACATCTACAATGTCATGAAAACAAAACTCTGTGGGGAGTTGCAAAAGGACCCTGTGAGACAGTGTGACCAGGGAGTGAGAAAGCAATTGGAATTCAAAAGAATTGAGGTGATACAAATGGGAGAAAACAACCCCAGGTTCATGGGATGGTGCAATCACAGAACGGTTTGGGTTTGGAGGTGCCTTAAAGACCATCTGCCATGGTGCATCTTTGGTAGATCAATTCACACACACCTGCAGAGATGAGCTGGGAGCTGGCCCAATGTCCCTCACAACTCAGATCCTGGGGCTTTCACAGTCACTGGTTAAAAAATAATGTGGGCATTGCTGAATAAAGAGAATAACACAGTGAATGGTGTTATGCAGTGTGGGGCATGACAGGGATTTGGACAACGCTAGAGGTTGTGGATAAGGCAGATGGTGATTGAGTGTCCATCAGCAATGGAAATGCAGGATGGCATCAAGAATGGCAGCTTGGTTTGGAAGCAGAGAGCAGCAGTTTCTTCCTGCAGTGTGTGGTTACAGCACAGGGCTCTTAAAGGGTAAAACAGGTGCAGGACTTCTGCAGGGAATAAAAAACTGAGTGGGTAACGTGGAAAAACATCCACGTGGGGTATTGAGTGCAAGGAGCTGCATCTCAGAAGAGAGTGGGGAAGTGTTGTGGGCAACACAACATGGTGGTTCATGCCCTGCTCCTTGGGTGGTCCTGGAATCATGGAATATCCTGACTTGGATGAGACCCACAGGGGTCAAATCCAACCCTTGACCCTGCACAGACACCCCAACAATCCCACCCTGTGTGTCCCTGGAGCAGTGTCCCGATGCTCCTGGAGCTCTGGCAGCCTCAGGGCTGTGCCCATTCCCTGGGGAGCCTGGGCAGTGCCTGCACCCTCTGGGGAAGAGCCTTTCCTCATATCCAGCCTAAACCCCCCTGACAGTTGCTGTTGGGGGAGGATTCTGGTGTCCATGGTCTGACCTGGTACAGCCACTGACATCTTATGTGGCAGTGGCTGAAAATTCCCTCTGCACTCCTACAGTCCCTGTTCTGCAGAATAGAATCTGTTCTGTGCTTGGGGAACAGGGACAGAGGTGTCTGTGTGGGGACCCATCTCTGCAGGTGCCTCCTCAGGGCCTTCCCAACAGCTGCTCCTTCTCTGTGGTGCCTACCTGCAGTTGTCAGGATTTCCTTTGCACTCTGCAGAGCCCCAGGGATGGTTTGGGCAGCAGTGCTGGGCTCCAGGCATCCCCCCAGCCCCCTTCTCACTGCTCACCACTGCTCTCTTCTCTTCCAGGCTGTCCCTCAGGAACATTCAAGGCCAGCCAGGGGGATGAAGGGTGCGTCCACTGCCCCATCAACAGCCGGACAACCTCGGAAGGGGCCACAAACTGCGTGTGCCGGAATGGATATTACCGGGCAGACGCCGACCCCGTGGACATGCCGTGCACCAGTATGTGGGGCTGGGCAGCTGGGAGGGACACGTGGTGGGGAAAGGACATGGCACTCAGTCAGAGCACTGAGGGATGCTTGACAAGGTGTCTGTCCCAGTGGGGTTTTGGGGGCACTACACAAACTAACTGGTAAATTTTGCCCGGACTTTCACGCAATCAAATTAGCCTGGGGTAAGAGGACTGGTTTCATTCCCTCTCTTTGCTTTGATGTCCAGCTTGCTGCACACATCCCCAACACCAAGAGAAGTAGGGATTTATTAAGAGGCCTTAGATAGATCCACCTTGGGCAGCACAACCCAAAATGGCAACAAAAATGGATGACAGGTCACGGGGTTTCACACTTTTATATGGTTTGGTCCATTTGCATCTTGGAGCTAATTGTCCAATCACAGCTTTAGCCTGTGAAGTCCCATCCTTCTTGTTTTCTCTCTTCAGCCCATGTTGTTTATGCTCTTGGGCCTGAGATCTGGATCAGCTGTCCTTGGTCCCCAGCTAGAGCAGGAATTGTTTTATCTACCTACTCTGTGAAGAGAGCTCACCATCCCCTACTTACACACTGAAGCAGAATAGAATCTGAAAAATGTAAAAGCGAAAACCTGAGGCACCAGGAGTGGGCAGGGTCCCTGGGCAGTGTTGGCTGAGGCCCTGTGGGCTGAACACCTGTGAGCTGGAAGCCCCTGTGAGCTGGGAGCCCCTGTGGACTGGGAGTCCCTATGGGCTGGGAGTCCCTGTGGGCTGGGAGTCCCTATGGGCTGGGAGTCCCTGTGGGCTGGGAGCCCCTGTGGGCTGGGAGCCCCTGTGGGCTGGGAGTCCCTATGGGCTGGGAGTCCCTGTGGGCTGAGCCCCTGTGGGCTGAACCCCTGTGGGCTGGGAGCCCCTGTGGGCTGGGAGCCCCTGTGGGCTGGGAGCCCCTGTGGGCTGAGCCCCTGTGGGCTGAGCCCCTGTGGGCTGAACCCCTGTGGGCTGGGAGCCCCTGTGGGCTGGGAGCCCCTGTGGACTGAGCCCCTGTGGGCTGGGAGCCCCTGTGGGCTCGGCTCACAGAGCCTGCCCAGGGATGGGGAGGAGGAGGGGTGCAGCTGCTCACACCTTCCTGTGTGCTCCCTTTGCAGCCATCCCGTCCGCCCCGCAAGCCGTGATCTCCAGCGTGAACGAGACGTCGCTGATGCTGGAGTGGAGCCCCCCGCGGGACTCGGGGGGCCGCGAGGACCTGGTGTACAACATCATCTGCAAGAGCTGCGGGGCCGGCCGCGGGGCCTGCACGCGCTGCGGGGACAACGTGCAGTTCACCCCGCGCCAGCTGGGCCTCACCGAGCCCCGCATCTACATCAGCGACCTGCTGGCCCACACCCAGTACACCTTCGAGATCCAGGCCGTCAACGGCGTCACCGACCAGAGCCCCTTCTCCCCGCAGTTCGCCTCCGTGAACATCACCACCAACCAGGCCGGTAAGGCCCTGTGCCCCTCCCTCAGAGCTCCCACTCCGGGGTGGGGTGGGATGGGGGATGCCCTGTGAAGGCTGAGCTAGAACACAGAGCTAAAGAATAGAGGAGGGATTTATTAAGAGGTCTCAAATAGATCCACCTTGGGCAGCACAACCCAAAATGGCCACAAAATGGTTGGCTGGTCACAGAATCTCACACTTTTATATGTTTTGGTCCATTTGCATCTTGGAGCTAATTGTCAGCTTTAGCCCATGAAGTCCATCCTTCTTGTTTTCTCTCTTCAGCCCACATAATTTATGCTCTTGTGCCTGAGATCTGAATCAGCTGTCCTTGGGTCCCCAGCTAGAGCAGGAATACCTATTCTGTGAAGAGAGCTCACCATCCCCTAATATGAAGCCCAAACTTACACATTAAAGCAGAATAGAATCTGAAAAATGTAAAAGCTAAAACCTGAGGCATCAGGGGTGGGAAGTGTCCCTGGTCTGGCTGAGCCCCTGTGGGCTGGAAGGGGACAAGAGTGGGGTGAAGTGTTGCTTATTCCATAATGTTGGTGGTGATGAGTGCCTCGCAATTCCTGAGTGAATCCCAAGCCCTGGGTGTCAAAATACCCCTTATTTCAGTGAAAAGCTGCAGCGTGCCCCAAGGCAGAGCTGCCTCCCCATCGTGGCAGCAGAACAGCTGGTGGCACTGTCCCCTGGTGTCACAGCATCACTCTCCAGCACTGGGTGTGGCTGGGCCTGAGGCTGTTGCCTCCAAGCACCATTGCAGGCACCATCAGAGTGTTGCAGACACAGTCCTGGTTCCTGGGGAGGGAAAGGGAAGGTGAGGTGGCTCCAGCATTTTGCTGGGAGCTGCACTCCCTGCTTGGACTGTAGAGAGAGCCAGGACAGACTGAGAAAGCAAAGGAGAGCTGCACAGGAGAGGGGCTGGGAGAAGAATATTTGGGATAACAGTCTGGGAATCTGCTCCAGTTCCTGTGCCACTGCAGAGTCACCTGGTGAAGCAGCTGAAGCGCAGAGCTGGGAGGGTTTCAGTGGGGTCCCCAGCTCTGTGCAGGGTGGGTTTGCTGGGGGAGGGATGGTCAGAGTGGCTGGTAGTGCTGCTCCCAGGAGGGTGCCCCTGGCGGCTGTGCTGGTGGCAGGAGCCCCACGGAGCTGCTGGCCAGGGCTGCCTTCCCAGCCCACCTGGAGCCATCTGGAGCTGGGCACAGCCGGGGCTGGGGCTTGGCTGAATGGGACTGAGGTGGAAGGATGCCAGTGAGGCACAGCCCTGCTGGGGAGCAGGAGAGATTCTGGTCCCTCTGAAGTGCCCTGGACACTTCCTGACCCCCAGGGCTGAATTTGGCAGCCGTGGGTGAATCACCTGGAGGCCATGGTGTGTCCTGGCTGCCAGGGGTGGTGGGTGGGGTAAAACAGCAGTAGGGCAGGTGGGCATCACTTGGGCATCACCTCCAGAGTGTGAGGACAGAGGGAACCTGCAGAAATGCCTGGGGGAATTATTATGGTGCCCTCTGATCTGGAGTTAGCTCGGGAGTGGGGCCAGGGTGTTTTTGAAGCCCTGGAGGCAGGTCTGACACAGGCTGGGCCATGGTTTGGCTCCAAGCAGAGACAGGGCTGCCCGAAGGAGGAGAGAGGAATGGGTCTGGATGACCATCTTCCTTTAGCTGATGGAGATGGGGTGGCTGTAATGCTGCCTGGAGCTGGGAAGGGGCTCTGCACCTCCCACCGTGGTCCTGTACTATGGATTAATCATTTGATGCTCATATTTCATACTTGCATTTCTCTGCTGTGCTTGAACCTTCATGGATCACCCGTGGCTGCTCCCACCTGAGCAGAACCAGCGAGCTGAGTCGAAGGCAAATCCTTTTCAGTCCCCTGCATCCTCCTCCTTGTGTTTCCCTGGTTTGACACTCCTTTATTATCAGGGCTCACACTTCTCAGCCTGTGTGATGTCTCTCTTAATGTATCTATTCATTAGCACTAAACACTAACTGTCTGCTTGCTAATTCCTCTGTAATTAGAGGCTCTGGATTCTTCTGCTTACACTCGCACCGGCACTGCCTGGCAGCCTTGATGTAGATCATTAGCAGTTGGTAACAGAAGCTGCAGACACAAAGGCAGAGCTGGGACAGGAGAATGGGGGGTGCTGGGGGAGAGGAGAGGGAGCAGAGGGAGGATGAGCCTCCCTCTGCCTTGGCTCTGGATGGAGGAGCCAGCTGGGGCTGCATTGTTGGATGTGTGATGGGGTTGTGCTCCTGCCACAGCTGGACAAAGCAAAGTGCCCACCACCCCTCAGGGTCCTGCAGCCCTGCAGGAAGCAAGGAAAATCCCCCTGGTTCCCCAAGGGACACAGGGTGAGTGCTGAGGACTCTCTGTGATGCAGGACTGAGGAGAGATGCCCCATCAGCAGCAGCATCCAGAACCTTCAGGTGTCACCAGTTCTTCAGCACCCACATTTTATAAGGGCATGGAGTGCCAGGACAAGGGACGATGGCTCCCCACTGCCAGAGGACAGGATTAGATGGAATATTGGGAAGGAATTCTTCCCTGGGAGGGTGAGGAGGCCCTGGCACAGGTTGCCCAGAGAAGCTGTAGCTGTCCCAACCCTGGAATTGCCCAAAACCAGCTGGGGTGTGGCTTGGAGCACCTTGGGACAGTAGAAGCTGTCCCAGCCCATGGCAAGAAGTGATGAGCTTTTATATCCCTTGCAGTCCAAACCATTCTGGGATCCCAAGAGAAATCTCCTGTGAGAGTAAGGAAACAACCCCTCTAGAGCAGCCAGAGGGAAGGAAGGTCCTGAGTGTGCCCAGGTGGGTGGCACATGCTGGGTGATGGTTGGGTGGCCATCATCCCATGGCCATGACCCCTTCCAGCAAATCCCCATGAACAGGATCCTCCTGCCTTCCTGGGCAATGCCTTCTGGCACCTCTGAGCCCAGGCTGGGTTTTCTCTCTGCTCTTCTCAGCAGGCTCTCCTCGACCTCCAGCTCCACCTGTGCATCTGCAGCTCACCTGCACTGCTGCTCCTCACACCCTGCAGCTGAGCAGTGCCTCATCCCCAAAGCCCAGCATCCCTTCAGGAGGGAAATCCAGGACTGCCCATGTGCTCAGTCCGGTCTGCAGGGACCATGACAGAGCCTGGGTGCCACCAAAAGTCCGTTCCCAGCCATTCCTCATAAATGATCTGTGCCAAGAGGGTGGCTGAGAGCCGTGCCAGCATCCCAAGGGGTCAAGGAGCTGAGCCCAGGGCTCTGGATAACAACACTTGACTAATTGAGAGCCTTGCCAGGCACCAGCTCTTGCTGGCAGCCCCTGGCTACAAATTTGTGGCCTTTCTTTGGGGACTGCTGGGGATGGGGAGAGTCTTGGTGCTGTGAGGGTTGTCAGGCTCTGTCCACACCATGGACAGGCTGAGTGCCCTGGGAAAGCTGAAGGAAAGGGCTCCATGGTCAGGAATGAGTTAATAGCAGTGGGAAGGGCACTTGTTGGTAACTGGCTGCTGTGAGCTGAGGAGGGAGGAAGAAGCCTTGGGCTCTGGAGTATCCAGAGAGAAATTCAAGATCTCCCAGTGGTGGGGGTAAGAGAGCATCCAGGCTCTTGGGAATGTGTCCCTTTTGTGAGCAACTCTTGTCACAGGGGATAAGGAGGGAGGATTAGTGTTGATGTCAGAGGCTCTTGGCTGCAAACAGAGCCACAGGAGCCATAAAGGGCCCTTACAGAGGGAATACAAGGAATGTGTGGTGAAGGAAATCAATCCACTGTCCTGATAAACCCATCAGGATGATTTCTCCCCCTCTACAGATCCAGAAAAGTTGTTATGATTATTTGCATTATTATTCTGGGTGGCATTTTCCAGCAGTATGTCATAACATGGTGATGCGGGTTAGTGGACAAAGTGGCATTCAGTCAAAGGTTGGGCTTGATGATCTTGGAGGTTTTTCCCAACCTTCCATGATTCTCCAGGTCTCTTGGCCAGGAAGATGTGCAGCTCACAGCTCTGTCCCAGGTGCATGCCAGGCATCAGAAGGGTTTGAATTTCAGTGGCTGGCACAGCCCAGGTGGGGTCCAGCCCCGCAGGGTCTTTTGGGGAGGGCTGTCCCCACAGGCCTTGGGGGAGCCCCTGAGCTCAAGGACAGGTGGCCACGGTCCAAAGTGAGGACATGGGCCATGGCCCTGCTCTGCTGGGGTCTCCTAGCACTGGACTGAGCCCAGCCTGATCCTGCTACAAACCTTGAGGAGTTCATCCATGGTGATGGAGCACGGGTGAGACACACCCCAGGCTGTGCAGAAAGGAGGGGTTTCCCCCTCACCTTCAATCAAAACAATTCCCTTGCAGCCACAGCCCTGGAACTCTGCTGGCAGAGGCAGCAGGGCCACAGAGAGGTTGGGGATCAGGTGAGGTGAAGGGGTGGGGTGGGCAGGACCAGACTTTCTCAGCAGCCATCCCAGCCTGCTGTTTGCTTGTCACATCAGTGATGCTGCTGGCTAGACAGGGACAGGAGGCTTGTTCTGCCTGGGGCACAGGGAGCCTTGCTTTTATCTTCTCACTTTCAGTGTGTGTCAGAGGATGTGTCGGGCTCCCTGCTTGGGAGGGAGGCACAGGAGAGCCCGTGCTGCTCTGGACACGAGCAGGAGCAATGGCTCCTCCTGTTCTCTCTCGTGCTGCTCAGCTGGGCCCTGCTGCAGCCAGGAGTTCGTGTCTGTGAAACGAAACCTGGGAAAGTGCAGAAATTACCTCAAAGGGCTGGAATGAGCTTTCCAGAGCTTCAAAGCTCTGAGTATTTGTTTATCATAGAATCCCAGAATGGTTTGGGTTGGAAGGGACTTTAAAGATCACCCAGTCCCACCCCCTGCCATGGGCAGGGACACCTTCCACTAGCACAGGTTGCTCCAAGCCCCATCTAAGCTGGCCTTGAACTTCAACAAGATTTTGACACTCCACTTTCCTGTTTCTTCCAGAATGAAAGGCAGGAAGTTGTAACATTTGAGTATCTCAGATTCCTCA